TTTCTTATATTGGTGAAGTAGAACAACTCACTTTCAGAAGCTTGTGCATTAAGGATTGAAAATCTGATTGTGGCAAGAGGATGTGATTCATGTGTATTTTGATGGAGTTGTTTATTGATATATGTGAACCAGTTAAGGAAATTGCGTTGGCGTTCAGAGCAGCTCTGGCTAGTAGTTTGTCAAGTGTTAAATGATATTTTAGCATTGCATAGTTGGCAGTTAGCAGTTGCTTGTGGGGCCTTTTTGGATTACATGTTTTCATCAAGTTCCTAATCTTTTGTCAGTGAGCTCTTGGAGCTAACACAGGTACAAACTTACAACTTCTTTGCAAAATGGGTGTATTTGAATAGTTGTACAATGATTTCTGTATACATTGACTTTTTACAATTAATTTTTTGAATAGAGAAGGTATTTGTATGGTTCAGAACTATAAACTCTGAAAAGATTCCTGCTAAGAAGTCTCACTTCCTGCTCCACTACCTTCACTGGGCTTGGTAACCATTACATTCCCTTTTTGGCTCCCTTTCCAGTATTTCTGGTGAAAACACAAATAGATATTTCTATTTTCCTCCCTTTTTACCCCCAACTATTTCTTCATTTAACAGTATCTTGGAGATTTCTCCCTATCCCTACATGAAGCTCTTCCTCATTTTTGTCCCAGTGAAGTTTTAATCAGATTGAAGGTGCGTATCTGTGGAGAAATTATTGACATGAAGTTGTAATAAAAGCAAACTTAAAACCTGTAGCAAACTTTTTCAAATATCGGGGTTGTCGGAAAAGTCATGATGCATTTTTACAATGAAAACAGAAAAATACATCATGACTTTTCCGACAACCCAGTAATACTTTAAAAATAAAGAATTAAGGGGCCGGCCGAGTGGTCCAGTTGGTTAAGAGTGCAAGCTCTGAGCAACAGGGTCGCCGGTTCGATCCGCACATGGGCCAGTGAGCTGCACCTGAGCTGAGTTGCCAACAGGTGGCAGGATGGTTCAGCTGGTGAGAGCACGTGTTCCTAACAATAAGGTTGCCGGTTCAACTCCCTCATGGGATGGTGGGCTGCACCCACCCGCAGCTAAGATTGAACACGGCACCTTGAGCTGAGCTGCCCTGAGCTGCTGACGGGCGGCTGGATGGCAACTGGACTTGGAGCTGAGCTAGCTGCGCCCTCCACAACTAAGACTGAAGGACAACAACTTGGCTGTTCCCCTTCCCCAAATCCCCAATAAAATCTTAAAATAAAATAAAGAATTAAGTAAAAATAATAAAATTGAAAATAATAAAACAATAGTCTTTCCCTGGAAACTTTCTAAGTATTCTGACTGTTGGCCTTGAGGTTACCCCCAGCCAACTAGTGCAGGAATGCTTGTGTGTGTTAGTAGCTTGGGTTACGATTCCTCCTCTTCTTTCTCCCTCTTTACTGACAAGATACTATTAAACCGTTTGGAATTTTAGTTCTCTTACTGGATTAACAAGATAGCCTCTTTAAAAAAGATGTAAGACTGTATATGAACTCATATATGAAAGTGTGATTTAAATGAGTATTTGATTTTTATTTTATTTTCAGTTTTCCAGGAAGAAAATTTGCCTAAAGTAAATAACCTAACAATCCTATAGAACGTTTCAGGTCTCATCCTTGTATATTTTCCCCACATTCTGAATTAAAATACACAAGGTTCTTATTCATAAGATAAAATGGAGATCTTTTACCACAATATTTCTACTATTTATATGAAAACAGTGTGATTCCAGTAGGGTGATTTTTAGTTGAGTTTTTTTTTAAAGATTTTATTGGAGAGTTGAGGGAGGGGAACAGCACTGGGGAATCGGGGAAAGGGAACAGACAAGTTGCTGTCCTTTTGTTCTTCAGTCTCGTTGTGGAGGATGTCGCTTCACTGGCCCATGTTGGTATTATCAGTGCGCTTTTCCTGGGTGAGGCAGTTGCTCGCTGGCCATTGGACAGCCATTCATGGTGGCTCACGAAAGCTCACGCCTGCTGCCAGCCAGCCCCACTGCAGCCTGTGCCGTCACTGTTGATTCACAGCAGCCCAGCTCTAGGTCGAGCTGTTCTTCATGTTAGCTGTAGAGGGCGCAGTGTCACTGGCCCATGTGGGATCCGAACCGGTGGCCCTACTGCTCAGAGCTCGTGCTCCCAAGACAACTCTTAACCAACGAGCCACTCAGCCGGCCCCTTAGTTGAGTTTTTAAATTTAGTAATTTAAATTTAATAATTTTTTGAACACTTCTTATTTTCTAATAGGCCCCTTTTCATGGCAGTCTGTGCTTTTTTTTTTTTAAGATTTTTTTTTTTATTGGGGAATTGAGGGAAGGGGAACAGACAAGTTGCTGTCCTTTTGTTCTTCAGTCTAGTTGTGGAGGACGTTGCTTCACTGGCCCAAGTTGGCACCATCATTGCGCTCTTCCTGGGCGAGGCAGATTAGTTGCTGGCTTCTGGACGGCCGCTCACAGCGGCTGCTGGCTGCTCACGCTGGCTGCTGGCTACATACGGTAGCCCATGGCAACCCACTGCCACAGGAGCTGCAGCCTACGGCGACTCACGACAGCCCAGCTCCAGGTTGAGCTGTTGTTCAGCATCTTAGCTGTGGAGGGCAGTGTCACTGGCCCTCATATGTGGGATCCGAACCGGGGCCCTCTGGCGTCCCAAGCCAGTTCTTAACCATCGCGCCACTCAGCCGGCCCAGTTTGTGCTTTTTTTAATCTGCCAGAATGTCTTTAAGGATACAGATTAGAATTTTAAAAAACTATTCTGTTTCCTGTGTTTGCTGTATTTACTCATTTATTTTTTTTAATATTTTAAATAGTAATTCTCTGTTGTTTGTTGATTATGCCTCACTTGTTTTGTGATTCTTTGGTGTCCATTCATATGAGGACTGAAATCATTAGTATTTTAATGGATGTGTGTTTTCTTGGAAATTAGGAAGGTCAGTGTTTCTCCAGCAGGCCTCCCCTGTGAATATTTCCATCTACCCCAAAACTTCCCTTGTACGTCTTTGTAATCAGTACTTCTCCAGACCTTGACAACCATTGATCTGTTGTCTGTCTGTATAGTTTTGCCCTAGAATATCATATAAGTGCAGTAATATAACATGTAGTGCTTTAAGTCTGACTTTAACTTAGCATGATGCTTTTGAGAGTCATTGATTAGTATTTCATTGTATAGATGTACCACATCCACCTGGTGATGGGCATTTGGGTTGTTTCTGGGTTTTGGTGATTACAAACAGAGCTGCTAGAAGCATCAGCATACGCGCACGCGCACGTGTGTTTGTATATATGTACATAGGCCTTCATTTCTCTTGGGTAAAAACTTAGGAGTGGGGTTGCTTGGGTCCTATGGTAAGTAACTTTATAAGAAACTGCCAAACTCATTTTCCGAAGTGACTGTGCATCTACACCTGTGTCAGCCATGTAGAGAGTTCCAGTTGCTTTACAGCCTCACCTGCATTTGGTATTGTCAGGAATATTTCTTCCCAATCTGAGGCTCTGTTTTCATTTTATCCTGAGTAGATTTTGAAGTTTGTATCTAGACTTCAAGATCTCTGTTTGCAGTAGGACTATAAAAGAATACCAGTCAGCAGTGTCATTTCTTTACATACATCTCACCTCCACCTTTTCTTCTGCTTTCTTTTCATTTAAAGATACCTTTCCCATCCATTACTTGGTATTGTGCCTGAGTGAAATTAACATAAGCTTTTACCCAATGTTCATGATGATGAGATGGTCAGAGCTCACTAAGCTCACAAGGGAAGTATTTCAGAAGACCATTTCTAAATTGTTTTGGGACTCCATCACTTTCAATGCACAGTTTCTCTGTGGACTTTTGCAAGTATATTTAAATATTATATGAAGATGTTTTCATTTTTAATATATTAATATTATATATTAATATTGACAGTCTTGGTAGCTATTGCAAAAGAGTCCTCCAGAAATGTTTTCCCCCAAAATATTGGTACATTCTTACAAACAGGCTGTGAGAGTTAGTTACCAATAATTCACATTTACAATAATGGGTAATATCTATTCATATAATATTTAGTTATTGGTTATTTTTGAATCACATTCTTGTAAATTTCCCTGCAATTTATTAGACTGTCAGCTTCATTTAAAGCAGAGGAACCACATCTCTGCTTACCATTTTTATCCCCAGCACCAGTCATCATGCATAGCACTTAGTAGGCGCTAAATAATTATCACTTAAATAAATGAATAATTAGTGAGTGATTCTCCTTTGCAGGAATCTAGTCATACTGATTCTTGTCAGTGACTTATTTCTTGAAGTTCCAGGAGGAATATGAATTGCCAGGCACTTGTCAAACTTGCTTCCATGCAGTTTAACCAGATGTTTTTCCAGAAAGTCACATTTAGAAGTCTATGGTATGGAATGAGGGTATGCAACTAGGTTTGTTAATAGTGTTTTATCTATGCATAATGTTTCAATACATTTTTAAGATAAAAGAGTACATATATATTTTTAAAGATCATTCATCAGGATCATTAACATTTTCCTTGGTTGGATTTCCCTATCTTCCCATTTGAACCACGTTTTCTGCTTTTCTTTAGTATGTATGGCAGAGAAAACTGAAATGAAGGTAGTGACATGAGTCAGCAGAAAGGTAAATAGAACAACTGGAAATGTTTGTGAATCAAAAAAAATCCTCCTGCAAACAGGATTCTGCTTATAAGTTTGGTGTACAAAATTGACCTGTTTCAAAATAAGCTTTTGACGAGTTGTATCAAAACAGTTTCAGAGTGTTCTTTGACAGTTTATAGAAAAGGCTAAGTAGTATTTTGTTTATTTGTAATTAGAAAATACACCTAATAAATCTCACTTTGCAGACCTTTGATTTGTTTAATTGAGAAAGGGTCTTGGGGATTCTGGCCCAAATATTTCATTGGGTTGTTTTAACATGTAGCGTTTTTTCTGAAATTATAAAATTTGTATATTTTATGTGATCAGCAATTCTTTTTTTTTTTTTTTTCAGTATATTTTTGGAGATTTTAGCCCTGATGAATTCAATCAGTTCTTTGTGACTCCTCGCTCTTCAGTTGAGGTAAGACAAAACTTTGTTTTATTGACTATATGTGTAGATCTAATTAGTACTTATGTTTTAGTTTTTATTTTTTAATTTATGCTTTTTGATAAGGAATTCTAATGTACAGGAAAGTGCAGAGACTAATATGAGAAATGCCTGAACTCTTCAATCAGATTTGACTAATACTAACATTTTGCTATATTTATAAATAGCAAAACATTAGAGATATAGTTGAAGCCTCCATCATCATATTCCCCTCCTTCCCAGAAATAATGACTCTGCTAAAATTGGTATTTCACCTTTTACTACATATGTGTGTATCAACAGCACATTGTATTGTTTTATATGGTTTAAAATGTCACATAAATGGTTTCATACTATATTAATCATTTTGTAGTTTTAAGCTAACATGTTTAGATTTATCTATACGAATATATTTTGTTCTTGTTCTTTGATTTTAATTGCTAAATACCAAGCAATTAGTTCTTCCACTATTACGAAAATGTTGGAATAAACATGTTTGTCTCATGTTTCTCTGGGTTTCCCCAGGATATACGCTAGGAATGGAACTGCTGGGTTGAGCAAGGAATAACACTTTTAGTTTTACTAGAGACTGCTAACCTGCTTTCTAAGTGGTTTTAACAGTCTGCATTCTCATCAGCAGTGCATGAGATTTTTCTCTATCATATTAAAAAACAAACTTGCTAATTCTCAGTATAGACATACTTAAAATTTTTGTTAATCTGATGGGTTATAACTATATTCTCATTGTTTTAATTTACATTTCCCAAATTGCAAATGGTTGAGCCCTGTTTCATTATTTTCACATGTCCATTGGCGATACAGATTTCCACTTCTGTGAATTACCCGATTGCTATACCTTGTCCATATTTTTTATCAAGTGGTTTGTCTCTTATTTATAGGATTAGTAATCTTTGGTTTTGCATATTACAGGTATCTTTTCTTAGCATGAGGGTCTTTAAACTTTGTATATGATGCACTTTTCATTTTTTGCTGGGTAACAGGAGTACATTTTTTCACTTTAATGTCAAATGTATTCACTTTTTTCCACATGGTTTGTGGATTTTTGGTTTTTTAAAAAATATCTTTAAGAAATTCTTCCTTCTCTAAGGTAATAAAGACTTTTGTTTTCTTTTAAAAGTCGTAAGGTTTTTGAAGGTTTTTGCTTTCACTTTAGTATGTAATACAACTGAAATTGAGGTATTGATTTTTGTGTATGTGTGAGGTAGGGACATACTAATCCCTCCTCCATGGCAGTAGAACTTGGCCCTTTGTATACCATTTGCTGAGCTCATAGGTTTAGCGCCATCCTGTCAGGTTACACATCTCTCTATGCTTGGTTGATTCTGGGTCCCTTGTTCTATGGGCCTTTTGTTTTATCTCTGTATCAATACCATACATTTTAAATGCTGCAACTTTATAAACAGTCTTCCAGCAGGGAGGGCACACACCTTCTTCTTATACTTAAAAGTTATTTTGGCTCTCTTTCATTCTTAACTCTTCCTTAGAAACTCATGATCAGCATATCAAGTTACATGAAAAATCCTTTTGGAATTTTAGTTGGAATTGTGTTAAAATGATGGATTAATTTGTAGAAGAATTAACATCTTTATGATAGTTTTTCTAACCACGATTGTGGTATATTTCTCCATTGAAGCCTTTTTTAATGTTCACTCTTTGTGTGATGGTTTCTGTTTTAGCGTAATAAAAACTTAACCAGGAACATTTTTTCAGATTTATATTTTAAATGTAAATACTGTTGAAATTGCATTGAAAACAAAAAATGGGGGAGAAGTAAGTATACAAGTACATCAAGTAAAATCCTAGTTAACTTGTAATGAAAAGTAAGTTTAGATCCCTAAATTTTAGAGCCCTTTGTAAATATATACAGTCGTATGTTTGCATGCATATTAAAAATTAATGTATGGAATTGTTTTATTTGGTAAAATGGAGCAGAAGATAATTACTTAGAATAGGAGTCAAAAGGCCAGGGTTGGGGTCTGGCAGGGTCACATGTCACCTTGGCACGTCTTTTATTTTTCACCTTGGCTTCTTGGATTCTAAAAAATTTTTAGCTTTATGGAGGTGGGATTAAATGAGAACATATTGAAAGCATTACTTAAACTATACAGCTGTAAGAAGGACATCTGTATTTGTTACTTGTTTTCTCTTTCACTTTAGAAAAAAGAAAATAAAGCTTATATAAGGTTTCATTTTAGAAAATGAGTAAATTCAGTGCCATCTCCATCTCTTGTGTTCATTGATGTTAACAGTTATGAATTTAAGGAATCTAAGGAGATACAAACCCAGGACTGTAGTGAAAGTTAAATTATATGTTGTATTTCCTAAGGCAGTAAAATATATCTATGCATTTTGGAATTCTATAAAAGAAGGATTGAAGTTTAGTATTTTCTGATAAGAAAGCGATTAATTAGGAAAAACATAATCAGATCCCATATTCCCCAAGCACTAGTGTTAATTGATGTTCTCTATATACTACTAATCAAGTTTTAAATAATTTCTGTCTTTAAATCACAGTAAAATATGATGTACTTGCCAGAACACCACAATCTAACTGCTCTTTGCAACTAAGTTTTTAAGAAATGATAAAGCTCAACCTCTATACTTTATAAAAGCTTTTCTCAGCTGTGCGCATATTTTTGGGTTTTTGAGTGCCTGTTTGCAAGTGTCAGAATAAAAATGTGCGTTTTCCTGTGATATGAAAGTGGAAAATGTACCATATTTCAAGTCTGAAGAGCTTGGTGCCTTCGTCACTCTGCCACTTAAAGAGGCTCGGCAGTCTTGTGCAATTTCCTCCATCTCATTATGCCTTTTTCAAAAAAAAAAAAAAATTGAACATGGAGAATGCTTATTTGCCTCACAGAAATGTTGAGAAATCATTAATGTGTGGTGTGATACTTAGTGTGTAACAAATGTTAGTAGATACAATTGATGCTGATGGTAAAGTTATGTTAGACTTTTTATTTGCAGAAATAATGGCTGTGTCTCATCAAAATGAGTTATAGCCAGAAATCTTAGTGTGTCTGGGCCCATTTGAGCATGCACTGAGCATGCATTTAGTTTGGGGGGCATGGTATGACAAGTGTGTTGTCTATCAAGATCACATGTGGTCCAATAACTCGCAAAAAGGAAATATAGGCTAATTAACAAATATTGTTCTCAATATGTAATTATTAATATTACAGTTCAGGGGTCTGGATTATAACAACATATAGGGCACGGACTGTTTAATGGGGTGATACATGGTTAGATCAGTGGGTAGGTGAGTGATGTTATCTCACTTCCATTACGTAATTGTTTGGACTTTTATCTTGTAGGTAAAATAATTGTATCTCCTACATGCACTGTTCCTACCATGTGGCATAAATTAAAATCCAGCCCTATTCCTCATATACTTTTTGGCTATTAGGAACTTGATAAGGCATATTTTTCTCTCCTTGGGGCCAAGAACTAAAAAAACTGAAATTTGAGAAATGGTACGGTGTACATGTAAAAACAGTGTCTCTACAAAGCATCATTCCTCCCAGCTGAGAGGTTTTTTTTTTGCTTCTTTTAGTTTGCTTGTTTGAAAGCCTGCCACTGGCAAGATAGGGTGGTCAGCAGTTTAGCAGAATCAGAAGAATCAAAGTCAGCCGATGTGAGCTTAAATGTCAGTACGAGCATACCTCGGAGAAGTTGCAGGTTCAGCTCCAGACCACTGCAATAAAGCGAATATTGCAGTAAAGCAAGTCACACAAAGTTTTTGGTTTCCCAGTGCATGTAAAAGTTAGTTTACACTAGCCTGTTAAGTATGCGGTAGTATTATATCTGAAAACAGTACATACCTTAATTAAAAAATACTTTATTGCTAAAGAATGCTAACCAGTCTCTGAACTTACAGTGAACAGTATAACCTTTTTGCTGTGGAGTGCCTTGCCTCATTGTTGATGCATTTTCCCAATATCTGTGAAACGCAGTAAAATGAAGTGCAGTAAAATAAGGCATGCCTATATAAAAATTTTAAAGATAACTGATGTCTTTTCTAAAGCTGTGCTCTAGTTTAGAAGCCAGGGTGATTTAGAAATGAATTTCTCCAACTAGAAAAAATGTGGTCACTTGTGAATAACTATGTTTTGAACCCCAGTCATAATCCTGTTATTGGTGTTCAAAAATAGGGAGAGAATGCTAATTGTTCCTGAAATTTCCCAGACTCTCAACATTAGAGGCAACACATACACTTCAACTAGCTACCGAATAACAAGCCCAGACAGCACCATATAGGATGGAGGTGCACACCCATGCGTGTGTGGGGTCATAAAGACAGTTATTCTGAGTGGCTTGGTGTCTTAATAAGATTTCAGAGGACAGATTCAGGGCTGGTGAGGGTTTTTCAGACAGAGAGCAGAACAAATGGTGGCAGTACCAAAAAGATTTTAAAACATTATCTTATTGAAGGACCCAAGTCTTGTCTTCACAAGACTCATAGCACTATTTCAAACTAATGTGATTTGACTCTCTATCTAATATAACTAGATTTCAGTTACTTTACATTGCTTAGTTTACATTTGTGTGTGAGGTTTTATGTTTTGGTTTTGGATTTTAAATTTTGTATTTCTTATAAATAGCTGTAGAAAGAGGCAACTGAACAATTCTTACAATTTATTCTGCTGTATATTTATCATACCACTGACCTAACGGGCATCTTATGAGCGGTGGAGGTTTTGTTGAATTAAAGGTGCCATATGCCTCTAGAGTAAAAAAGAAATACACACACACACACACACACACACACACACACACACACACATGCACACATGGACGAGTATTTCTTCTGGGCCAGAACTCATTCCAGTGTTCAGTAATTCCCACAATGATGCTCTTACCAGATTAATATATCAGAATATTTTAAACACACTAACAGAAAATGGCAGTATTGCCCCCGAGTCTGCTGGGTGGCCTGTCTTCAGATCCTGCTTCTACCACTTATAGATTTTGTGTAAGTACAGGGAAATTAAAAAAAAAACACAAAACACTAAAATTTTAGTGCCTTAAAATTATATAGGTTTCCATCAGCAGGGGGCACCACAGTGTCATTGATGGGAAAAGAGAAGGTATTCTGTGTATGGGAGTTTGCCGAACTGCTTTTGTGACTGCAGAGGGCCATGAACCTGATTTGTGGCTTCCTCAGATGCACCTTTCTGCTCCTGAGGTTTGCGCCAGTGGTACATGCTGGAGCACCTGGGGTGAGTGTTTGAACGGTCTTTGCACTTCAGGCACAAGGCCAAATGTAGCCTGTCTTGGCACCCAGAATGCTTTCTCCTTTTGTGTCAGTGTGTTAAATACTGGGGTGCCCCCATGTGGTGGAAATATGTGCAGCTGTCAAGTCCTGAAAGCGTCCAGTTCATTTTGAATAGCACTGTGTTTTCTTAGCTGCTTATTTGTCATAATTCTCCAGGGAGAGAACGTGCTTGGTAACTTGGAGAGATAAGCTTTTATCTCTGTGATTATGCTAAGAGTTAATTGGAGAAATCAGCTGAGGAAGCCACTTAAGCTGTAGTTCTCAGTAGTGGGCATGAGAATCCCGTGGGTGCCTCTGAACATTTCAGACTTGGGGACCTCATGCAGTCACTGGGGCCATCATTGTACTGAGAGTGCTGCTCTGAGCAGACTGAGAAATGCTGTGTGAGGATGCAATTGTTTTGTTCTTTTGTTCTGACTTCAGGTAACAAGTATTCATCCACTTAACCCTTTCCCATCTTAAACTTCCTCATCTCAAAACAGGTCCATTCAAAACATTTTCATCTCTTAGGTATTATGGAATAGCTATGAAGAAGAAAAATTTGGTATATTCATAACACCTTCCTGCTTTTTACGAAGAGGTCAAACATTTGCCATTTTGCTTGCTCTCTTCCAAACAAGGAGTGTTTTTTAAGGCACTGTGTTGAAAAGGGAACCACGATTCCCAGATTTTCCTTCCCAGTGGGCTTTCTTTGCTCTCTGCAAAGTCCTGGCCTCTGATGGCTGTGCTGACTTGTAGTGATAGTGAACATGAAGTGCAGATGGTCGCAAAGGGTCATCTTTACTAGTGGACAAAGACAGGCGGCTGTGGTGTTTATGGGCAGTCGCTAACATCCTGTGAAGCGAAGGATGTACTGTAAGTATCTTATTGTAGCTAATTTACATGTCCATTGGGGTCCATTTTCATTTTTTGCCTCATTTTTGGATCTGTTTAACAACAATAAATATTCAAAAGCATTCCTTTCCTATGGTCTTTTTTCTTAAATGAAGATGATTTAATTTTACTGTCTCTTCATGTATTATTTTGGTAAAAATGATGTCATGAGAAGAAGTTGCAGGGATAGAGTTTTAATGAAGTGTTGCTTGAATAAATAGTATGTTTCAGGCTTTAACATTTTGTTGGGTTAACATTTGTTTTCTGACTCCCTGTGCAGCTTCCTCCGTACAATGGAACAGTTCTGTGTGGCGCACAGGCTCCAGATGAACTACCTGATGGTAAGCTCGCTCTGTCCTTCATTTCCCTGATGTGGATTCTGGCCATATGTGCTGGGTGGGCCGGCTGGCTGGAGACAGTGTTTTCCGGTTTGTTCATACTTTGCGAATAAACATTCCCTTATGGTTTGATGTTTTTGTTCTAAACTATAGCAGCTTTAATCACCGAACGACTTTGACTAATGAATTAAAATGTATTCTGTGCTTCAGACGTTCACAGTTTAGTTAAGGAAATAGTTGTTCAGTTCTGTTTTTTTCTGAACAGCTCTCAGTGGAGCAGGCATGTTCTTTATAGCCAGTGCTTTTTGTCCGAGTTCTGAAGTGGACTTTTAGTCTGGTTGCGGAGGCTGCAGGGCCCCGAACTGGTGCGTTTCTGAGCATGTGCTCTTGGCACCGCTCAGTGGCAGCTTGAATCTGTTGTTCCTGCAGTTTTCATTTATATCCCCGTCTGTCGCTAATGCTCTTGGGAATTTAGGGAACCTCTTCACCTCGTAGTCTGTTATGTTTTGTTTTGTTTTGTTTTTCGGTCTCTGTCAAAGACACTGAGCTGGTTACTGGACATGGTGCTTGTTGAGATGCAACATTTTGTATAGTCCAAGAGCCTGGTGTTTAAATAACAACAGGGTCCCATTGCACTGGTCAAATCCGTCTAGACCAGGGGACGGTAAACTTGAGACGGAAGAGCCACCAGGGGTCAGCAAACTGCAGCTCGTGAGCCACAGGCTCTGAAGTAAAATTGAAAATAAAACTATCATAGTTTCATTTATACAATTTTTAAAGGATATTATTCACATAATGGTGATTATGTGAAAATATATTTATGGCTCTCGAATGATTTTTAAATTGTTGTGAGGGACAGGATTGGCTCTTCTAGGGGTCGGCAAATTTTTGAGACGGAATGTACCCAAAGAGCCGCATGTGGCTCGCGAGCCGCAGTTTGCCGACCCCTGGGCTAGACCATTTTCCAGTTTGGCTCATGTCAAAGGCCCTGGCTGGCCTTGGAGAAGCTGAAAGCTTGATCTTTTCTTTGAGAGCCAGGGATTTGGCTCCCTGTTTCGTTAGCATGGTCAAACCTGTGAAAGGGGTTTTCATTTTCATTGAGGCCTAAATACCAGGGCTGCCAAAAACATGTACACACACGACTTGTATTCATCTTTTGTTATGGGTATATATTGAGTATTACAATTTTAATACAGTTTTTTTCCTTTCTGAAAACGTGTATACATTTTTTTGGCACCCTCTGTATAAACCTTGAAAAGACTAGCCAAACTTTTTATCTATAGTAAAATCAGAAAAGTGATTATATCTAAAATTATTAGCAGTTTTTTAAGAAACAGTGATATAGGAGATCATAAGGGACAGAGCAGTTCTAATGATGGCTTAGGATGAGAATAAAATTAATGAAGTTATAGGGACCCACAGGCCCTTGCCCCACTGCCCAGCCCCTGGAGCAGCTTTTTAAAATCTGAGTCAGTAGATTTCTCTGTGTCCATGTACTTTGCACATAGTAAGCATGCTGCAGATGTTTACTCAGTGCTTAAAAATGTTCCATTATTTTCCCTTTAACATTATGCCTTTTTTTCTGTAATAGTCCAGTGAGTTGTCCCACTATCCTCCAAGTGAGTGGCATGGGCGGGAGGTGGGCGGCTTCAGGAGCTCCTCCCCCCAACCTCCAACCCCTCGTGGTTCTGACTCCACCCACCTCTAATCCATTTCCTCCTCTCCCTCATGCCACACCCCCCCCTTCCAGGCTCTCATCCCTGTTCCGCTACTGCTTCTTGGGTCTTTTCTCTCTTCTCTCCTCTCTGCCTGTAAGCTCATCACTTGTTCTGCGGAAAACACAGCTGAAATCCTGCCACCTGCTCCCACTGTTAGTGACAGGCCAGCTTAAAGGCCCCTTTCTCTGAGGCCTTTTCTGTTCTCTTGTGTTTCCATTACTTTTAGTTCTCTGAACAGTACAGTAATGCCTCATGTACAAAGTGCCTGCTGCAGGGGAGCAAAATTTGCCACCCCCAAATGTGCCATTTTGGCATATTGATTATTTGGAATTAAAGTTTCTTGAGAAACAACTGTTGCAAGGACACTCTGACCTTCCTCTCTGTCCCTCTGAAAGCAGGAAATAAATCTCCCATGTAAAAGGCACCCTCCCTGCACTAAGAGGTAAAAATCTTCCTTATCTCCAGAGGTAGGACATTCAGGGCTGAGAAGGCTGTGTATGCAAACTCAGCCTCATTTCCTCACTCATTTGTCCCCAAGCCAAAGATTTTTTATCTTGTCAGTTCTTCACAAATTTATCATTTCTTTATCTAAAACATGTAAAAGTTGCCTGCTTTGATCACTTCTTTAGGTCCCATATCTATGAGACCTCTGTACATAAGAAATTAAACTTGATTTTTCTCCTATTAATCTGTCAATTTACTTCTTAGACCAGTCAGAAGAACCTAGAAGGGTAGAAGGAAAATTTTTTTCTCCCTGACACTCCTCTTTAGACTGAGTTCAATTGTGCATAGCAGGGACCATAACTCTTCATTTCTATGTGTTTAGCAGCTGCATAGTGTCTGGAATGTTATAAACCCTCAGCATGCTTTTGGATTAATGATTTAGAGTGATTTATTCTATCTCCCACCACAGTCAACTACAGCAAGCTCTTTGCAGGGGCTCCTTATCATAGCATGCTTTTTTATACCTCTGCCTTTTTTAGGCAGTTCCTAAAGCTTGAAATAGCTTATAACCCCCAGTCCCCCACCCCCAAATCCAGCTATCCTGCTAGTTCTACTGATGGTTCTGTAGCTTCTGATCAAAATTGATTTCTTTGTTTTGTGTCTGAAAGCGGTCTTTTTCGTAAAGCTGTTGAGGTTGAGGCCTTTTCTTTCCCTCCCTTGTCATTTTCAGTCCAATATGTTTGTCTCCCTAGTAAATGGAACTCCCTGAGACAGCCTTATTACTCTCAGTGCCCGCCCTCCATCTCCCCCCGTAAGCACTTTACACACAGCATTGAATTGACTTGCCAAGAGTTAATTGGAGAAATCAGCTGAGGAAGCCACTTAAGTTGTAGTTCTCTACAGTAGTGGGTATGAGAATCTTGTGGGTGCCTCTGAACACATCAGACTCCAGGGGCCTCCGGGGCCATTGTACTGCCAGTGCTGCAGTGAGCAGACTTTGTGAAACACTGTGTGAGGATGTGATTGTTTTATTTTATTTATATGGGTTTCCATCCTCTAACCAACCCACTGCCTGCCTGACATGCGTGCTGAGTTCCCATGTACCCAATATATTGACTGGGTTATTTGAAGCATGAATTTGTAGGACTTCCAGCAGTCCAGCAGCCCCACAGATTGGGCTCTCTGTCGTGGAGTGTGGTGCACACGTGTGCCCATGACGAGTGTTCCTGGACAAGAAAAGGAATTATTTTGGGTAGGAATCTGCCTTCCAGTGATATGATCAGATGCTATACTGGGTAAATGTTTTGATAATAGCCACAGCATATTGTAATGGTTCCATTAATGTCACATCATGTTCTAGAAGGTTTTATGATGTGATAAGATTAAGATTTGAGATGTGGAAGGCACTGTGTCTGCTGGAAATAATCAAAATCTTGCACAAGCTGCATGACACAGCGCATACTATTGGGTCGTCGGCAAAGTCATGATGTATTTTTCTATGTTTTTCAATGCAAAAATGTGTCATGATTTCCCCGACGACCCAATAATTTTTAATGTGCCTTCTCAACGTACACCACAGGGTACTACACCACAGCGTACTCCAAAGGGTAGCTTCCACGTGTGGAGTGTTTTTCATTAATTCAGATACTTCCATTTGAATCCATGCAGTAGCATTGCACCCTCGAAACATCATGGAATAGGTGATGCCTGGAAGCAAAGTGGACAATTTATCTTTAGGTATAATAATAGAGAAATTAACTTCTCTTTGCTGATTCTTTCAAAATAAGGAAACAAAAAATCAGTGCTTGGTGGCCAAAGGATTCAAATCGTCATATTGGTGGCTTTATATAAACCTGCTGTTAGATGTAATTACTGTCAGTATTCTTTTTTTTCAGGAACTTTTTGTTGTTGTGCAGGTGTCTCCCCTCTAACCCCAACAGGTTGTTTTATCAAAACAAATGAAGAATTTAGGAGACTAGGCTCCCCCCACCACTGACTTGCACATAACTGGCCTCTCTCTGGGGCTGTGTTTTCCTTCTATAAAAGACTTCCAAGGTAAAATATATTCAGTTCTCTGTAACAGAACACAATTCTTTTGGTGTTATGATTTTTTTTCCCTTGAAACACATGCCTTGGAAAAAATTTTGGCCTCTTATGCTAGACTTGGTGAAATCTTCAGTTATGCATTAAATATGAATTATAAGGCATGTGTTCTTTCCTTAACTTCAAAGTTTATTTAGAACTATTTTATCAGGTATAGAACGATATTGATGCTTAGTGTCTATTGAAAGACAATGATTCTGAAACTCAAATCTAATTTCATAGATGTGAACGCTGAAAAAATGTACATCTTTGAATGGATAGGATATGTAGATTGTTGTCATTTGGGAGAGGACATATTGAAGGGTTCCATGGAGATTTTTAAAACTTCGTGGTCTTGACTTTAGTTTTTAGTATTTTTGGAAGTACCATCACCACCCATGGAGTTAATCCTGTAAGAATTCATTTAGTGAGCAATTACATACATTCATGCAAGGCTATTTTCAGACTTCAACTAAGGTTGCCAGTGGAGGTCAGGAGATGGATAATTCAAAAGAGTGTTTCTGAAATATACTTTTTTTAAAAAAATTTTATTGGGGAGCAGCCATGGTCATTGGTTACACATTGCTTTCATTGCTACAGTGGCATAGTTGACTCTTTTAGGGAGGGCGCAGCTCACAGTGGCCCATGCGGGGATCAAACTGGCAACCTTGGTGTTATCAGCACCATGCTCTAACCAACTGAGCTAACTGGTCACCCCCTGAAGTATATACTTTTATATAGAGGATTTGTTCTTGGTGTAGTTTATACTTTTTGAATTATTAAATTACACTAGAGAAGCCATGTATATAGCAATGATTTTAAGTCCATAAGTTTGTCATCATGATTTTTTTTTTAATTGTCTAAAAAAACTTATACCTTACTCTCGGGCATAAAGTAAGCTAGTAAAGTCTCTCTCCCTCCTTTGGCTGTCCTGAGAGTAGAAGATAAATATAGACTTCTGTTTTTCATATCCCCAAATTAAATATAATTTTATAGTTATTTATTTTCAGCCAATTATTTATTCAACATAGAAATAAAATGTCATAGCATTGTTAATTAGGACACTTTAAGGTTTCAGTTTTAAAATAATAATTATTGATACTTTTATAGTTTGTGTAGCTGTGTTCTTACTGATCATTTTCTTTCTAAACAGGACAGGAATATCAGAGAATCGAGTTTGGTGTTAATGAAGTAATTGAACCCAGTGACACTTTGCAGAGAACTCCCAACTACAGTATTTCAAGCACATTGAACCCTCAGGCCCCTGAATTTATTCTTAGTTGCACAACTTCCAAAAAGACCCCAGATGACATAGATAAAGAAGCGAACTACAGCTCCATTGACTGCCAGTACCCAGGCTCTGCCCTTGCTCTGGATGGCAGTTCCAACGCTGAGGCAGAAGGTCTGGAAAATGATGGTGCCTCGGGTGGTCTTGGACAAAGGGAGCGTAAGAAGAAGAAAAAATGTCCCCCTGGATACTATAGTTACTTGAAAGATGGCAGTGAGGGCGGCATTTCCACGGAAGCCCTGGTCAATGGCCATGCTAACCCAGCAGTCCTGAACAGTGTAGGCACAGAGGATGCCGAGTTGGTGGGCGATGTGCCCCCACTGGGGACACCCAGGACTTGTAACAGCCCTCAGGACTCCACGGACTTCATCAGTGACGCCGTTCATGGTGGTTCTTTCCCTGGAGCCCTGGACAGCAATGCCAGGACTGCAGGGCAGCCGGAAGGCTGCCAGGGGCCTGAATTGGAACAGTCATGCCTCCCTGCAGAGGCTGGCAGGGACAGCCTGTTGAGGACAGCTGTGGCTCAGCCTTACGTTGGGGCTGATACTACTGAAAACCTTGGAGTTGCTAATGGACAGATACTTGAATCCTCTGGTGAGGGCTCAGCTGCCAACGGGGTGGAGTTGCACACTGTGGAAAGCACGGACTTGGACCCAGCTAAAGCTGAGAGCGTGTCCCCTCCTGCCGACGCCCTGACCTGTGTTGCGGGCGCCGCTCCCATCAGTCAGCCTGCTAAGTCATGGGCCAGTCTTTTCCATGATTCTAAGCCCTCTTCCTCCTCGCCCTTGGCTTCCATGGAAACTAAGTATTCCCCTCCTGCCACATCTCCCCATGTCTCTGAAAAGCAGGCGGAAGTCAAGGAAGGGCTTGTTCCAGTTTCAGAGGATCCCGTAGCCATAAAGATTGCAGGTATAGTTCAAAAGATACAGTTCGAAAGTGAAGATGGGAGCAGATCTCATCGCCTGTTGAGGGAGAAGTTTGAGACGGTCTGGGCTTATAAACTGTGGTGATAGATTGTTACCCAGAGCAATAACAGCAAATTACCTGTGTTTGAATAGAAATTTCTGAAGAATGCTTGTGCCTTAAAGATTATCAAAAAAGCAAAATAATATAAAAGCAAAACGGGAGGGGGTTTTTATACCTTTATGTTAAGTGAAAAGTCTATGTCTGTTACCAGTCCTTTTCTGCTGACAAACTACATTTCCATTTCTTGCCTTTTGATCAAGTAATTCTGCTCCATTGTGACTGTATAATAATGGACTTGTCCTACCTGTTACAGCTGTTGTACCCCATTGGTATGATCATCCCTGGTTTGGACTCACTTTGCACTGTTCCTTTTTTATCTTAAGTTATAAGAAAGCATTTTGGGTTTTTCTTCTTAATGTCTGTTTTGGATTGAGTAAATGGATTTTACTCAGTTTCAGCACACCAAGGTTAGCTCTTGACACGGAAAGAGAAACGGTAACAGTTTGGCCCAAAATAAATGTTTTATTTTGAAGTGCTAAGGCTCAAAACGAGAACCAAGTCACAATAAAAATGCAAAGCTGCATTGTTGGCAGTTGTTTTTTTAAGTTAAAGTAGGAAGTCAGAAATACAAAGGAGCATATATTTATATGTATCTAAGAAGCCAAAGCCATTTCTTCAGGTTTCATCATACCAAGAAGTTTAGTGGCCTTCTCTTCAGATTCTTACCTCATTAGCCCAGTTAAAATAAGCTGTCTCATTTACGCTTTATGTGTATTTTTTTATATAACATTTTGGAACACCTGACAGCATTATCAGGATGAGTGCAGTAGTGGTGAGCTGTAAGAGGCACACCCTTTTATGAATGGTCAGAATTCCATCAGATATAAAACACATTCTTTTGATGGCAGTAAGATGATAGCAAACAATACTTTTTTTTTTTAATTGAGCATTTTATCCCTTATACAAAAATACATTATTTTGAATACCCTTGGCATCTGGAGTTCTCTTAACATGAGAAGATAATTGATAAGCCATTCATCATTTTGGGCTTCGTGTATATTTTTAAAAGCCAGGTGATTTCTTTATTATCACTTAGAATGTAATCATTGCAAGGGAATGCTGTTACAGTCAGGATTAGACAGTGTAAGTCTTTGTATAGATCATTAAGTTAAAAGTTTATTTTTAACCTATAATGAGAAATGCATGGTGGGATGCTTTTTAAAATGTACATTCTAAGTAAAAATTCATGAAGATATTGTAATTATACTTGTTCCTAAAAATTACTTCACAAAGAAAAACCTCTCATTCCTGGGAAATTTTCTCAATCTTTATTTACAGTAAGAAAGAAAAGCTTCATTTTAAATGTTTTAAAACGTTCTAGTCATCTGACCTTAAATGTGGTTTGATACATAGTTTGCTATGTTCTTTATCTGTTAAAATCTAATTAACCTGTTAAAACCTAATGTTAAACCTGCTTTGTAAAATACTGTGAAAGTAGGGGCTCTTAGTTACTTGTATTAGTAGAGAGCATTGTACAATCCAAGTAATTATTTTTGAATTGATATAGTGTGTTCCCCCATACCTCCCCCTAGCCCATTTCTTTTCTTAATCCTATTTTGATTAGGCCAGTTACAAAAATGTTTTAATTATCTGAGCAAAAGTTTAGTTCCTTTTAAAATACTTCATTCTTTTGAGCCTGTTTGTTGAGCCTTAAAAATATCGAATGTAGTTGCTGACAGTTTTCAGTATTCTGTAAAATAATGCAGTGATAAGATTCACACTGACTAACACTTGGAATCATATATAGCTTAGGTAAAGTGGTATTGTTTGGAATTTTTTTTCTCTTTGTTGTATTCTCCAACTTAGAGATTTACCTTATAAATTTTATAAGGTAAATATATATGACTTATATTCAATTTGTTATAAGTCAGATGCACTACCGCAAACTTCCCATTAATGGGCATGCTTTTAAATGTTGGCCCGCTTGTTTAAAGCAGCACTTAACTGTGAAATTCTAGCTTCATTCAAAGATCTGTTGATGTTGGTTATCATCGTATTTGACCTGCTTTAGCATCTATCTGGTTCTGCCCAGAGAGTAATTTTTATGTTTATCATTATACTTACTGACTTTGGGGAAAGAGGGAGAAGGGAGCAGTTCAGACATTGTCAATTGTTTTTTGATTTCTTGGAGTGATACCAATATCCACAGCCAGTTTTAGATCCCAGGTTCATTTATTTTGGATGTTCACATTTCTGGATCTTTGCCCTGCCCTGTCATTAAATCTCTGCTTAATAAATGCCAGCTAATTTTTATTATTATTATTTTTTTTTAGCTGAGCCATCCTGCCAACCTTTTGGCAGCTCAGCGGCAGCTCAGCTTGGGCCGGGCATTGAACCGCTGTTGCTCAGAGCTCAAACTCTTGAGCGAGCTCTTAACCAACTGAGCCACTTGGCTGGCCCATCCAGCTAATTTTTGTATAACCACAAGTGAGATAAAAATTAAGAAGATAAATCAACTGTAAACAAAAGATAAGAATCACCTATAAGGCATTTTGAGGTGAAATACAGCAAATCTTTGATTCCTTGTAAATTGTTTATCCATTACATTTTTTTTTAAAGATTTTTATTGGGGAATTGGGGGATGGGAACAGCGCTGGGGAATTGGGGGAAGGGGAACAGACAAGTTGCTGTCCTTTGTTCTTCAGTCTAGTTGTGGAGGACGTTGCTTCACTGGCCCAAGTTGGCACCATCATTGCGCTCTTCCCGGGCGAGGCAGATCAGTTGCCGGCTTCTGGATGGCTGCTCACTGCAGCTGCTGGCCACTCACACTGGATGCTGGCTACACACGGTAGCCCATGGCAACCCACTGCAGCAGGGGCTGCAGCCCAGCTCCAGGTTGAGCTGTTGTTCAGCATCTTAGCTGTAGAGGGCAATGTCACTGGTCTTCATATGTGGGATCCGAACCTGGGCTCTCTGGGGTCCCAAGCCAGCTCTTAACCAACACGCCACTCGGCCGGCCCCTTATCCATTATTTTAATGAGTTCTGCCTTCAACTTCTTGAAGGCAGCATTTTTTTTGGGGGGGGGGGTCAGCATTTTTTATTAGTCAGCATTTTTTCCACTGACGGTTTCTTCATAACTGTAAACTATTTAAGAAGGAGATGGAAGGGACGAGTACTTCTACTGAAACACTAAATGCCTTCTCCAGCCCCGCAGGAAGTTTGAACCTAAACAAAAGGTCTGCAGGGGCTTGGAGAGACTTCCGTGTTTCAGTGAGTGGTTTATGTTGGTCTGAGAGGAGGGGGTATTTGCCATTTTTCAGTAGGACTATCTGAGCCAGGAGGTGAGAAAAAGAAACTTGAAAATTTTAACTTTTTTTTTAAAGTGGTTGCAAAGCATTAGACCTACCCATATTCAAGAGTAAGTATGACAAATACAAGTAACGCAGGGATTATCTGTGCTGTTGCTCCCTCCGTTGGCTCATGAATGGAGAGTTGCTGTACATGTGCTATTTGAAACTCAACGTATCCTTTTAATGAACATTTAACTTTTCCTGGGTTTTTAATAAGGATCATTTGTTATACCGCACACCTAAATTGCATCAAATGCTTTCACATCACAAATAGAACTATTTTGTGTTTTGCTTTTAAAATTCTACGTCACCGTATTTTATTTTAAAGAACTGTAAAGTAGTAGCGGGCAGGGAGAAAGACTAGGCCAACTGCCCAAATAAAATGAGTTAGAATTCCAGTGAAACCGAACTAGGTCAACTGAGCTCTTTGACAGCTCTAAAAAAATTTTGTGAAGAAATTGAAGTATTTAGTAATGTCATTTTTTAAGAATTTTAGTCAAAACGTGTTTACTATATGATTTTGCACAGTGGCTTTTATGCATCTAAAAATTGTCGCTGGACTGAGCAACAAAATCATTACAAGTTGGATCTGCTCAGGAAACTGAATTGCCGTGTCCATATTTATTTGAAATGTAACAAAGATATAGCCTGTTAGTGATCTTTGATTTGGTGGTTTATGAATCATACTTACACGTCCCCCTCCTTGGGAAATGATTTCTCAAGTATTTAACATTTTCTCTTCAAGTTCTCCGAAGTAGCAATGATGTAGCATGCCCTACCTAAACTTAAAAGAGGTATTTAGCACTTGTTTGCAGGAATCTGTGCTTGTAGGTTGAGAGTTCAGTCCATATCTGATTTGATATGTATATGCCCTTGCTGGTATTTATGATATGTTTCTATTTCATAGAACTAAACTGAGAGCCTTCCACTTACAAAACATAAGTTGATCCATAGTCAATGGATAGTGGTACATTTTGGTTGCTTTACTGCCCTCCACCTGATTAGGTAACCAAGATAGCATATGTTTTTCTAAAGTGATGTAATGAGGAACAGCAAAACACTTGGAGAATGTTCTGAACAGTTAGGAAGATGACAGAAAAGCAGGTTGACATATCAGAATGTCAGTTATGGGGCAGTTATTGAGCCTTAAGAATCAATGACATTTCTGTACCGTGCGTTTTCATGGATTTTAAATGGTAATATGACCTCTAAATCCTAATTTTAGGAAAAGAAAATCTGATGCATAAAATGTGTATAAGAATAATTATAACTTATGTTCACTTAAGTTTACAATGATAGTATTGCCATTGAGTTTATAAGTCGTTTCATTTGAATGGTTTGTGGCAACATGTAAACTACTCTGTATGTCTTGAAATACAAAGAAGGATATTAAGCACTCAGCTTTTCTGTATGTCAGCAGATTTCATAAAGTTGAACTTTAATTCAGCCATTTAGTGTTTGAGCTGTTACAAAAGTGGAGACATCGGTTTCAATTTTGCATCTTTTATGTGGTATAGAGTCATTCTGGCATTTGGTACCATTCCATTAACATTGTTTTGAGGAGACTCACCAACTCCTGTGAGAAAGATGGA